CTTTAATTTAACTGCCTCTTTAAAGACCCTATTTCCAAATGCAGTTGCATTCTGAGGAACGGGGGGGGGGGGGGCGGTTGGGCATCTGAATTTTTTGAGGGTCACAACTCAACCGCTCACAGCCCCCGTGATCTTTGTCCTCTGGAATACAACTGTGAGCACGGCAGAGGGACTTTATGGATCTAGTTCAGGACCCAGAGGCAAAGAGATCTGTGGGCCATCCCAGTGGGTCCACTCTAACCACGTGAACCCATTCTGAAGAAGGACTTTCTCCAAGGAGGCAAAGAGGAGACTCCCAGCATACAGAGTATGCACCGCTGTAGGCTCTGGGTGCACAGGAGGAAGGAGCTGAAGCCCACACACCTGCCGGGGCTGGCAGGGCGCCTGGAGCGGCAGAGGCAGCCCCTCACCAACAGCCAGCACGGAAGCGGGGACCTCAGTCCCGTCACTCAAAGGAGTGGAATTCAGCCGACCTGAGCGCCTGGCAGCAGATTCTTCCCAGGACGAGTGTGCCCCCCCCCCCCCCCCCCCAGCCCCGGGCAGCTCGATCTCCACCCTGGGAGCCTCGGGGCAGAGGAAGCAGGTGACTGTGGTGGCAACCAGTGCTTCCGACCCTCCCTGTCTGTGTACGTCACGTGCAGCATGACCATGTCTCCGTTGATGATGGGCTGCGAATGCGATGGTGGCCCCAGAAGACTGTGTCACGTCTCTGCTGGTGTAGGTGACTCCAGAAGGCTAGCAAGAGTCAGGCAACACGTGACTGTAATCTGTCACAGCTGCAACGGGCAAGTCAGCAAATTTACAGAGCAAATCAAGGGAAACGGCTAGAAACTAAATCTACATGTGCCTTTCACTTAGGGTGAGCCAAGGGACAACATGATCAAGGGAAGTTGCAGTAAAATTGAAAGTTGCTTGGGAAATGAGTCGCATTTTTCAAAATCAGCAAGTTAGCAGAATGGCCTCCCACAGGCCTGGAGTGCTCCACTCAGGTCCAGTTGGAGCTGACTTCTGAGTGTTTGTCGGTAACTATGGAAGATTACTCCCTTGACAGGTAAAAAAAAAAAAATCTATATCTGAGTGCATAAGTAATGCAAGTCTATCCCCTTCCCTCACCACCATCAATGAGAAAATAGGTTCATCCAGTTCCAGGTGGGTGTTTGGCGCAGTGGTTAACTTGCCACTTGGGGCTCCTATATCTCTTTCATATTGCCTGGCTGCAATCCCGGCTCCTCCCTTCCAATCCACCATCCTGTTATTTTGCAACTGGGAAGCATCAAATGATGGTTCAAGTTCTTGGGTCCCTCCCACTCCCATGGGAGACCTGGATTGAGTACTGGGCTCTTGGCTTCAGCCTGGCTCAGCCTTGACTGTTGCATGCATTTTGGGGGTAAACCAATGGATGGAAGATCTCTCTCTCTCTCTCTGTCCCTCTCTTTTCAAATAAAATGAAGGTAAATAAAAATTGAAATATAAAAAATGCATTCTGTTATAGTATATAGCTATATTGAGAAGACTTGTGAAACCTTAACACATGCCTGGCACAAAGGAAGCTTTTAGTAAATGCTTATTATTATCATTATTGCTTAAAGATGTATTTATTTATCTGAAAGGCAGAGTGAGAGAGAGAGAGAGAGAGAGAGATATGCAAATAGTCACAACAGTCATGTCTAGACGAGGCTGCAGCCAGCAACCAGGAACTCCATCCAGGTCTCCCACATGGGTGGCAGGGATCTGAGTGCGTGGCTTATGATCCGCTGCCTTCCCAGATACATTAGCAAGAAGCTGTATCAGAAGCAGAACAGTTAGGACTCAAATCAGCACTCCAGTATGGGATGCCACTGTCTCAGTCAGTGGCTTAACCCACTGCACCACAATATTGGCCTCATCATTATTTCTAAATATTTATGTATTTATTTCCCTGAGAAGTAGAAAGAGAAAGAAACTGAGACAGAGTTCCCATCTGTTGCTTCAGTTCCCAGGTGCCCACAATGACTGGGATGGGCCAGGCCAAAGCCAGGAGCCTGGAATTCAATTCAGGTGCCCCCATTGGGTGTCAGGGACCCAACTGTATAAGCCATCACTGCTACTGCCTGGAGTCTGTCTTGGTAGGAAGCTGGGGTCAGGAGCTGAATCCCCCAGCGTGGGACGAGGCTGTCTTAACTGCTAAGCTAAATACCTGCTCCCTATCATTATCATGATTACTGTTACCTCATTTCATTTGACTGATACATCATGAGCGGCAAATATTTTAATTTGTTAAATTAAGGAATAATTCTCTATTGACTTCATACATAACTTGAGGGAGAGCTCATTCTACCGGGAAAACAAATGAACCAACGCCAAGATTTTGAGTCACAAGTAGGAATACAGAAACCCCAAAAGATAGTAGCTTATTTATGACCACTATCTTTTATTTCTCTGTCAAGTAGCAATGACCCGGGGCTGGTGCTGTGGCGTAGTGGGCTAAGCCTCCACCTGCTGCGCCAGCATCTCATATGGGTGCCAGTTCGAATCCCAGCTGCTCCACTTACGACCCAGTTCTCTGCAATGGCCTGGGAAAGCAATGGAAGATGGCCCAAGTCCTTGGGCCCCTGCACCCATGTGGGAGACCCAGAAGAAGCTCCTGGCTCCTGGCTTCAGATTGGCTCAGCTCCAGCTATTGTGGCTACTTGGGAGTGAACCATCAGATGGAAGACCTCTCCCTCTCTCCCTCTCTTTGTAACTCTGCCTCTTAAGTAAATAAAAATCTTTTAAAAATAATGCATGGGTTTCAGTGCTTTTTGTACCAAAATAAACTTGCTGTTCAATTCCATTTCCACCAGCTTTCTGCAGCTCCCTCATACATTTTCCAGCTTTTCCTGCAGGTTGATGTGATCACGTGACCAATGGGGTGTCAGCAGAAGTGATGGCTGCCTGTACTTGCTCATGGAAGAATTAGGAGTGCTGACACTTTCTCCCTTTCTTCCTTCCCATTGCCTAGCCATGAACAGAATTCATTTTTTTAAAAGATTTATTTATTTGTTTTGAAAGCCAGAGTTAGAGAGAAAGAGAGAGAGAGAGAAAGAGAGATCTTCCATCTTCTGGTTCACTCCCCAGATGGCTGCAACAGCCAGTATTAGGACAGGCTGAAGCCAGGAGTTAGGAGCTTCATCTGGGTCTCCCATGTGGGTGACAAGTGCCCTAGCACTTGGGCTGTCTTCTTTTGCTTTCCTCTGGACATTAGCAGGGAGCAGGCAGGACATGAACCCATGCCCATATGGAATACCTCTGTTGCAGGTGGCAGCTTTACCTGACATGCCAAAACACCAGCCTCAGAACTGATTTTTTTTTAAGCAAAGTGAGAGAGAGAGGCCTTCCATCTTGTGGCTTACTCCCCAAATGCCTGTAGCAGCTGGGACAGGGCCTGGCTGAAGCCAGGAGGCTGGAACTCCATACAGGTTTCCCACATGAGCAACAGGAACCCAGACATTTGGGCTATCATCTTCTGCCTCCCAGGAGCATTAGCAGGAAAGTGGATCAGAAGTGGGGAAGCCACAACTCGAATCAGCATTCTGATATGGGATGTGGCCTAACCCACTGCACCATGCCCTCCCCCAGACCTGACCTTTGACCCAGACTTGGAAGCTTTTGCTGAACATGGCAAATCCCTAATCAGTCATGGGTCATTGCTAGAGTTTTTTTGCTTTTTGTTTTTTAAGATTTATTTCTTTGACAGGTAGAGTTACAGACAGAGAGAGGGAGAGACAGAGAGAAAGGTCTTCCATCTGCTGGTTCACTCCCCAAATGGACGCATCTGCCAGAGCTGGGCCGATCCGAAGCCAGGAACCAAGAGCTTCATCTGGGTCTCCCACATGGGTGCAGGGGCCCAAGAACTTGGGCCATCCTACTGCTTTCCCAGGCCATGGCAGAGAGCTGGATCAGAAGAGGAGCACCTGGGATGTGAACTAGCAACCATATGGGATGCCAGCACCACAGGCGGAGGCTTAGCCTACTATACCACAGCACTGACCCCCATGCATTATTTTTTAAATGTGTTTTCCATGGAAATTTTTCATTTTAAAGAGTGGAAATGCAAATTTATATTTTTTTTGAAAGGTAGAATAACAGAGAGAGAGAGAGAGAGAGAGAGAGAGAGAGAGAGGAAGACAGAGATGGATTGGAGATCTTCCATACATTGTTTCACTTCCCCAAAAGCCTGCAACAGCCAGGGCTGGACCAGGCTGAAGCTAGCAGCCTGGAACTCAATCCAGGTCTTCCACATTGGTGGCAAGGACCAAGAACTTGAGCCATCACCTACTGCCTCCCCAGGTGCACATTAGCAGAAAAGTTGGACTGGAAGCAGAGCAGGGATTCAAACCCAAGCACTCTGATAAGGAACGCAGGCATCACAAAACAGTATCTTAGCTACTGCACCAAACACCTGCCACCTACATTATCTTTTTTTTTTAAGATTTATTTCTTTATTTGAAAGTCAGAATTACACAGAGAGAGGAGAGGCAGAGAGAGAGAGAGAGAGAGAGAGAGAGAGAGGTCTTCCATCTGATGGTTCACTCCCCAATTGGCTGCAATGGCCAGAACTGCGCCAATCCAAAACCAGGAGCTTCTTCTGGGTCTCCCACATGGGTGCAGGGGCCCAAGGACTTGGGCCATCTTCTACTGCTTTCCCAGGCCATAGCAGAGAGCTGGATTGGAAGTGGAGCAGCCAAAACTAGAACCTGTGCCCATATGTTATGCCGGCGATTCAGGCCATGGTGTTAACCTGCTGCGCCACATCGCCGGCCCCCCACATTATCTAGTAATTCAATTTTCCATGAACTCTTTGAAGCTCCTCACAGTTATTAGCTGGGTGGCCATGTGTCTGGCCAAAACTAAAAATATGCAGGGGAAGTGGGTGCTGGGAGAAAGTGATCAATCTTTACCAGAGATACACAACTGACAGGAGCCCAGAATCTGTGTGAGCTTCTCAAGAATAGTAAGAGGAAGTCTTCTATCTGTTGCAGGTGGATGAGCAGCAGTGAATATGGCAACTATGCTGCAGGTAGGAGACTAGATTACATGTCTTATTCCACCCAGGTTTTCCCTTTGTGAACCCACGTGTACAGAACTGGATTACTCATCATCCAGGGTCATACCAAGCAATCATCATTAAACATGCTTTATGAGCTGGTTTGTTTGCCTGTTTTAAACTTTAACTCTTGTGACTCCCTTGCCCAACACACTCTTCTCCATGCCCCTGCCGTACCCCTGGCCCCTGCACTTCCAGGCACCTACTAACCCAAACTGTGTGTCTGTTGTACCTTGACTTTTTACATAAAGTCTTTCCCACATGTTATGTATGACTGCTATGGTTTGAATATTAAGTTGGCTGTTCCCCAAGGATCCCTGTATTAAAGGCTTGATCCCCAGGGGCACAGCTCAGAGGCGGTAGACTCCTGAGGAGGTGGGGCCTGGCCTTCAGGTCTTGGGTTGTGCCCTTGTAAGGTAGTTCTTGTATGGATGAGGGAGTTCTCCCGAGAGGGCTGTTATCAAAGCCTGAGTCTGAGCCCACCCACCCTCTGGGCTTCCTGGGTCACCATGCGTTCCTCTACTCCTGTTCTCCCATCCCCGTGGGGCCTTCATCAAAGCCTGAACTTCCAGAACTGTGAGCTAAATAAACCTCTTGTCATCGTAAGTCAGTCATGGTAGTAACCAAAAAACTGCCTTAAATAACAGTCCAACAGTATGCTATTTGATTTTACTTATTTCTAAATTCTATAAAAAAGGGTACCACACTGGGTGCTCTCAATCTTGAAAAATATTTTAGGGGCCAGCATTGTATAGTAGGTAAAGCAGCTGCCTGTGATGCTGGCATCCCATATGGGCGCTGGCTGCTCTACTTCTGATCCAGCTCCCTGTTAATGGCTTAGGAAAAGCACCAGAAGATGGTCCAAGTGCTTGGGCCCCTGCCACCCACTTGGAGATCCAGAGGAAGCTCCTGGCTTCTGGCTTCAGCCTGGCTCAGCCCTGGCCATTGTGGCCACCTGGGGAGTGAACTAGCAGGTGGAAAATTACCCCCCCCCCTGCCGGCGCCACGGCTCACTAGGCTAATCCTCCGCCTAGTGGCGCCAGCACACCGAGTTCTAGTCCCGGTCGGGGCGCCGGATTCTGTCCCGGTTGCCCCTCTTCCAGGCCAGCCCTCTGCTGTGGCCAGGGAGTGCAGTGGAGGATGGCCCAGGTGCTTGGGCCCTGCACCCCATGGGAGACCAGGAAAAGCACCTGGCTCCTGGCTCCTGCCATCGGATCAGCGCGGTGTGCTGGCCACAGCGCGCCGACCGCGGCGGCCATTGGAGGGTGAACCAACGGCAAAGGAAGACCTTTCTCTCTGTCTCTCTCTCACTGTCCACTCTGCCTGTCAAAAAATGAAAAAAAAAAAAGAAAATTACCCCCCCTTTCAAATACATAAATAAATCTTAAAAAAAAAAAAAAGAAAAAGAAATGTTCTATTCCCTGATAGAAAGGAGTCTATCTTGAAAAAAAGAAAGAAAGAAAAACATTTTATCTGGACATGGACTCCTAGGTTGACAGTGCTTCATACAGTTAAAATATAATTCCATTTCCCAACCTTGGCAGCACAGCACAGAGAACCATAGGCACTGGGGAGCAGGGCAGACAAAGTGAGCACAGTCTACACTGCAGAGCACATAGACCCACAATGGTCTCATACAGAGGGAACTAAGCACTCAGCATCTTCTAGCTCCATCTCTCAAGATCTCAAGATCGAGCCTGGGGCCCGGTGCTGTGGCACAGCGGGTTAATGCCCTGGCCTGAAGCGCCGGCATCCCATATAGGTGCCAGGTTCTAGTCCCAGCTGCTCCTCTTCCAGTCCAGCCCTTTGCTGTGGCCCAGGAAGGCAGTGGAGGATGGCCCAAGTCCTTGGGCCCCTGCACCCATGTGGGAGACCCAGAAGAAGCTCCTGGCTCCTGGCTTTGGATTAGCGTAGCTTCAGCCAGAGTAAACCAGTGAATGGAAGATCTCTCTCTCTCTCTCTCTGCCCCTCCTCTCTCTGTGTAACTCTGACTTTCAAATAAATAAATAAATCTTTAAAAAAAAAAAAGATCGATCCTGAGCCAAGAAGGGCTTCATTCAACTGGAAGAGAATAAGCAGGAGGCCCCGGCAATCCCCACTCACACCAGACACCAAAGAACCCGGGCCTTCATGGATCCTGGGGCCAGTGTGGGGAGAAAGAGTCCAGCCCATGTGGTGCCATCCCTCACCCAAGTTCTCGCTGCATGGCCCCATCTTGAGTCCATCCACCCAGGGTCCAAAGAAGCAGCTGGGCAGCTGCTCCCAGCAGCTCCATGGACCCAGCCCTGTGCAACAGTCAGGAGAACCCACCCTGCCATGGTGCTGGGGAGAATGTGAGTGGCACAGCCTGAGTCATGAATCATGCCGCAGAGGCCCCCAGAAAATAGCCGGGAGGCCCTGCCCTTCCTCCTCCCGCGCTGAAAGCAGCCAGGCAGCCCTGCCCACCTGCCCTTGGCCTCAGGAAGCAGCATCCACCCTCTCACTGACCTGGAAATACCCAGCAGGCAGCCCCATCCTGCTTTGGCCCCAGGAAGCAGGCAGGTGGCCCTGCCCACACACCCTCAGCCCTGTGCAACAATCAGGCCACCAGCCCCAAGCCACTTGACCCACGGAAGCCCAGAGAAGCAGATGAGCAGCTGTGCCCAAGTGTCTTGGCCTACTAAGGCAACTGGGTGGCCCCATCCAACCCTCCATGGCCCCCAAGAGGCCACCACCCAGCCCACTCTCAGGAGCTTGGCCTAGCGAGGCCCCGAAAAGCAGAGGCCCGCCCTGCCCCTACGATCTCAGCTCAGAAAGCAGGTGAGCAGGCACATGCACCAACTCCCAGTGAACGTGCCCCACCCAGGGGAGCAGTGCAGTCCTGCAAGCCCGGCAGCCTCAGCGAGGAAGACCCCTGTGATCTCACTCAACTGATTACAGCAGAAGCAGGTGCACAGCCACTCCACCAAAGCCCCCACCCAGCCCCCAAAGCCTGCACAGCACACCCAGCCAACTGCCTAGGACACAGCACCAGGAGGAAAGTCTTCTGCTACAAAAGCCACCCGATAAAACTGGTAGAAGCCACTGACCCACCAGATGCACAAAAACCATCTTAGGGACACAGAAGCATGAAGAAAGGTAACATAATGCCTCCAAAGAAACCCAGCAGCTCCAGCAATAAACCACAAAGTAATGTAAATAGACACTTGGCCTGGCAAATAAAAGAATTACTTCTACAAAATGTAATAAGTTACAAGAGAATACAGACAGAGAATTCAACAAGACTATGAAAGCAATTAATGAAATGAATGAGAAATTCAGTAAACACAGAGCATCAGAAAGAACCAGCATAGGGCCAGCGTTAAGCCACCACTTGGTGGCTGTTCCACTTCAATTCAGTTTCCAAGAAATCACTAAATGAAATTTAAAATATAGCTGGGGGATGGCATTGTGGCATAGTGGGTAAAGCCACAGCTTGCGACACCGGCATCCCATATGGGCGCTGTTTCAGGTCCCGGCTGCTCCACTTCCCATCCAACTCCCTGCTGATGCTCCTGAGAAAGCCAGAGGATGCCCCAAGTGCTTGGGCCCCTGCACCCATGTGGGAGACCCAGAGGAAGACCTCTCTTCTTATCTCTCTCTCTCTCTCTTTCTAACTCTGCCTTTCAAATAAATAAGTAAATCTTTAAAAAAAAAAATAGTGAGCAAAAACACAGTTGAGAGCCTCAGCAGAACTGAGCAGGCAGAAGAAGGAATTTCTGAGCTTGATGTCAGGTCTTTTGAAATATCCAGCCAGACAATATAAATTTTCTTTTGGCATTTTTAAAAAAGATTTTATTTATTTATTTGAGAGGTAGAGTTACAGACAATGAGAGGGAGACGAAGAGAAAAGTCTTCCATCCATTGGTTCACTCCCCAAATGGCCACAACTGCCAGAGCTGTGCCAATCCGAAGCCAGGAGCCAGGAGCCAGGTGCTTCCTCCCGGTCTCTCACACAGGTGCAGGGGCCCAAGGACTTGGGCCATCTTCTACTGCTTTCCCAGGCCATAGCAGAGAACTAGATGGGAAGAGGAGGAGCTGGGACTAGAACTGGCGCCCATATGGGATGCCGGTGCCACAGGCGGAGGATTAACCTACTGCGCCATGGCGCCGGCCCCCAGTCAGACAATATAAATTAAAAGGAGTGAAGAAGGCTTTTGGGACTTATGGGACACCACAAAGTGAGGGAATATTCCCATTACAAGTGTTCCAAAAGAGAAAGAGAAGGAAAAGTCATAGAAAAACTTCTTCAAACAATTGCCAAGATCTTTCCAAATTTGGGAGAAAATATAGACATCCGGGTCCAGGAAGCCCAGAAGACCCCTAATTGATGCAACCAAAAATATTCTCTCAAAGAAAGAGTATTAGAGTCAAACTGATGAAAATACAAGACAGAGGATTCTAAAAACAGCAGGAGAGGACCGACGTGGCACAGTGGGTTAGGCCACCACTTGCAACGCCACATCCTGTATCAGAGTGCAGGTGCATGTCCAGGCTGCTCCACTTCTGAGCCAGCTCCCTGCTAGTGTGCCTGAGAAGCAGCAGATGGCGCAAATACTTGGGCCCCTGCTACCCATGTGGGAGACCCAGATAGAGTTCCAGGCTCCTGGCTTCAACCTGACCCAGTCCCTGTTGCAGCCATGCAGGGAGTGAGCCAGCAGATGGAAGACTTTCTCTCTTGGTGTAACTTCTCTCTTGGTTTAACTCTGACTTTCAAATTAATAAATAAATCTTTTTTAAAAATGAATATATAAGGAACTCAACAACACAGAATAAGAAAAAGCAAATGATAAAATGAACAAATGACTCAAACAGACTTTTCTTGAGGATATACCAACGGATCACAAGAATATGAAAAAATGCTCAATGTTCTTAATCATCAGTGAAATACACATCAAAACCACAATGAGGGGTTGTTTCATCTCTGTTAGAATGGATATTAACAAAAAGACAAAGTAACAAATGCTGGTGAGGATGAGGAGAGTGGGATGGGTAACTCATGCAGTTTGTGAGAATGTAAGTTAATACAGCCATTATAGAAAACAGTCTTGAGGTTCCTCCAAAAACTAAAAACAGAACTACCATATGATCCAGCAATGGATGGATAGGAAGTGGAGCAGCTGGGTCTCCAACCGGGGCCTGTATGGGATGCTGGCACTGCAGGCAGTGGCTTAACCCACTACACCACAGCGCTGGCCCCTAAAATCCTCTTTTCTTTCTTTCTTTCTTTATTTTTTTTAAGATTTATTTATTTATTTGAAAGAGTTACACAGAGTGAGAGGAGAGGTAAAGAGAGCGAGCTAGGACTCCAATCCCCTGGTTCACTCCCCAGATGGCTACAATGGCTGAGCTGCGCCCATCTCAAGCCAGGAGCCAGGAGCTTCTTCTGGGTCTCCCACAAGGGTGCAGGGGCCCAAGCACTTGGGCCATCTTCTACTGCTTTCCCAGGCCATAGCAGAGAGCTGGATTGCAAGTGGAACAGCTGGACTTGAACCGGTGTCCCTATAGGATGCCGCTGGCACTGCAGGCGGTGGCTTTACCCCCTAGGCCACAGTGCCAGTTTCTGAATTCCGCTTTTCTAACAGTGTTTTCCAACACTGGATGTACCTGAGAATTCTGAGGAGGTTTTGAACAACACTGCTGCCTGGGTGCCACCAGGAGAATGTTCCCGTTGGTGCGGTGGGAGCTGGGCACAGGGGCTTCAGTGACCCTAAGGTGTGGCCAAGGCTCAGAGCCAACGCTTTCCTTCACCCGCTCAGAGCTCCAGCCCCAGACCGAGCCCGCCGTCCACCCTCTCCCCAGGCCACTTTGAACAGTCCCCTGTCTTCCACACGCTGCCGTGTCCGGGCTTCCATCTCTCTCTCCCTCCGTCGTCCCTCAGACCGCACGTGGGGACCAAGGCATTGCTCCCCGCAACCTCCCGCGCCCCTCCTGTTCTGTCTCCGCAGGAGGGTTCAGCACGAAGCCGCTGCGCTGGTGCGGGATGACGGCCAAAATGGGCACCGTGCTGTCGGGCGTCTTCACTATCATGGCCACCAAAATGTACCTCATCTTCGAAGAGAAGCACCTGGGGAACCACAACTGCTTGAAGACCGGCCCCCAGGACAGCGCAGACGACGCCATCAACGAGTTCATCATCTGCCACAGCTGGAAGATCGTCTTCTACCTGTCGGCCTTCACCATCCTCGTCAGCGTCTTCCTGCTGTACTCCGTGTACATCCAGCTCTACAGGGGCCTGATGACCTACGTCATCTGGATCCTCTTCTACGAAACCGTCAACATCATCATCCAAGTGCTCACCAACACCGACCTCAGCCCCACGGAGGTCAGAGTCTTGCGCTGGTTCGGCTTGGTGTCGCGCGCCTTCATGCACTGCTTCTGGGTGTTCTACGTCATCGCCTACGCGCACATCATCTACAAAACCCAGAGCCAGGGCAACATCCTTTACTACAACAGACGCATCTCCATGGGGGGCGGAGAGGCCCCGCGCCGCAAGTCCAAGATCATCAGCTTCATCCACCACTACAAGGACTAGCGCCGCCCGCCCGCCCGGAGGCCAGGCCGCCTCAGGCTCCGCGGGGCCCGCTCCGTGTTCTTCCCTTTGGTGGGGTGGGGGTGGGGGTGCTCGGTTTTGTGAGCCTCTTGCCACTCTGTCCGGGGAATGCAGGCAGCAGCTGTGAGTAGGACCCTGCTCCCTGAGGGTGTTCCACTGGAGGACTCTGTCAGGGAGCTAGCCTGGCTCTTAGGTCAGTCCCGCCAATTGCCTCAAGAGGAGGAGGGCGGGGGAGCAGGGTGCAGCCCCTTTGCTTCGCCAGCCTCCACACCACAGCCGTCTTACACGGAACCCTGACGGGGACAAATCCATCCCGTGGCTCAGATTTCTGTTGAATGAAGGCTCCGGCTGGTCTCGCGGTGGGTTTGTGCTGTGGTTTTCCCCCTATGTCTTCTCTGCTACATTCCAAATAAGAGAAAGACTAAAAAATAAATCATTTTCAAGCCTTTGTCTTGAGTTCTGCCCGTCTCAGATGCGTCAGGAAGGACCCAAGGCAGTCAGTGATTCAGGAGTAATTCAGACTTCTCTGTGTGTCACCGTGCTGCACACTACAGGGGCACACAGAAAATACATATGGATGGAGGTGTGACCTTGAGGACTGTGAGGAGTCAGTAAGCCACCCACCCAAGACAGCGTTTGAGCACATGGTGTCACAGCTCAACAGAACTGTCAGTGCACTTCCGGCTGGGGTGGGGGACTGTTGTACCTGAGCGATGGCAAACAGAGGAGCACCACACACTGATAAAAATTTGAAGGTCTTTCATTGCCAGAGGTGGAGAGTGGGCTCGTGCCCTAAAGAACTCTCGAGCCTGAAGCCCAAAGCAACAGGGTTTTTAAAGGCAAAAACCACAAAATCGGGAGGGGAATACATGGTTGCTAGGATCAGGGGGAATACATGGTTACCAGGGTCAAGCTGACCTAAAACCTATGTGAAGCGAGTATCAATTATAATCTTGACAATACCAGTTACAATCTTAACAATTTCAATTGTAATCTTACATTAATCCAGGTATTGGCTTAAATCATATGTAGGACATAGACAAATTACATCTTTATCATTAGCCCAGGAGCAGCCTATCCGCTCCAAGCTTGAGCAATCATGCTAGGGGGTTTCTATGCTCTGCCAAGTGTGATGGAGGTTGTCAGGTGTGATGTAGTGGACTACTATTGTCCGAGTGTTTTAGATCATGGTTCTAGACCAGAGTCTCATGGTGGGGGGAAGGGGAGTGCTTTCTCAAGATGGAGTCTCAGGTGCTCCAAAATGGAGTCCCCACTGTCAAGGTGTTACTTCAGGACAATGGGGGCATCCTCTGTTTCCAACATTAGACATCATGCTGGGTTTCTGTTTAACAGCTTTCTTGAGGTACAACTGGCATACAACAGACACATATTTAAAGGGTATAATGGGACAAGCTTATTATTATTTTTAAAGATTTTATTTAGTTATTTGAGAGGTAAGTTACAGACAGTGAGAGGGAGAGACAGAGAGAAAGGTCTTCCATCCGCTGGTTCACTCCCCAAATGGCCGCAACGGCCGGAGCTACGCTGATCCGAAGCCAGGAGCCAGGAGCCTCTTCTGCCATCCTCTGCTGCTCTCCCAGGCCATCAGCAGAGAGCTGGATGGGAAGTGTAGCAGCTGGGACTCGCACTGGCACCCAGACGAGATGCTGGCGCCACAGGTGGACACTTAGCCTACTATGCCACAGCGCCAGCCCCCCTCACCCAGCTTCTCCTAGTGCATCCCGGAAGACAGAAGACAACGGCTCAAATCCTCGGGCCGCTGCCACCAGATGTAGTTCCAGGATCCTGGCTTTGGCCTGCCCTAACTCCGGTTTTTGTGAACATTTGGCAAGTGAACCAACAGATGGAACATTTCTTTCTCTCTCTGCCTTTCAAATAAATAAAACTTAAAGAGAGAACAAAAAGAAAGAAAGAAAGAAAGAAAGAAAGAAAGAAAGAAAGAAAGAAAGAAAGAAAGAAAGAAAGAAAGAAAGAAAGGAAGAAAGAAAGAAAGAAAGAAAAGATATGCTTAGGACACCTGCATATTGTACGGAAGTGCCTGTGCCCAAGCTCCAGCTTTGCTCCCATTTCCAGCATCCTGCTAATACGCACCCTGGAAAGTGGCCGTGAGGACTCGAGGAGGTGGGCTCTTGCCACCCAAGTGGGAGACCTGGACTGAGTCCCTGGCTCTGGTTTCAGCCTGGCCCTGTATCAGCTGTTGCAGGCATTCAGTGAGTGAACCAATGGATGGGATCTCTCTCTCTCTCTCTCTCCCCTTTTACATTTATAAAAATGTAAATAAATTTAAGTGTTTTTAAAAAAAGAAAAAAAGGAGGAATCAATCTTTCACCATGGAGTGTGAGATCAGCTGTGGACTTTGGAAATAAAACCTTTGTTAGGGCTGGCGCCGCGGCTCACTGGGCTAATCCTCCACCTGCGGTGCCAGCACTCCGGGTTCTAGTCCTGGTCGGGGTACCAGATTCTGTCCCAGTTACTCTTCTTCCAAGTCCAGCTCTCTGCTGTGGCCCAGGAGTGCAGTGGAGGATGGCCCAAGTGCTTGGACCCTGCACCCGCATAGGAGACCAGGAGAAGCACCTGGCTCCTGGCTTTGGATCAGGGCAGCACCGGTCATAGCGGCCATTTGGGGGGTGAACCAACGGAAGGATGACCTTTCTGTCTCTCTCTCACTGTCTAACTCTGCCTGTCAAAAACAAACGAACAAACAAAAAACCTTTGTTAGGAAGTAACAAATTCCCACCTCACTGATTGCTTAATCATGAAAGGTGTTGAATTTTGTCAAATGCTTTTCCTGCATCAATTGAGGTGCTCACTTTTTCCCTTCATTCTTGCAGTGGCCAGTGATGCTTTTTATATCTTGTGCCATCCTTGCATTTCTAGAAAAAATAATACATGTCACAGTGTATAATCTTTAGAGTTTTTATATTGCCCATGTATACTTAGTTTTTGGAATATATAGAATACAGTTATTACTGAGTTAATATCCTTGTCTGCAAATTTAGCAATCTTGTCCAGGCCAGTGTTGGGGCACAGTGGTTTGGCCACTCCATTCCACATCAGAATGCCCATTTGAGTCCCTTCCCTGCCACTCTGCTTCTGATCCAGCTTCCTGTGAAGGCACCTGAGAAGGCAGCAGATGAAGGCTCCAGTACTCGGGCCCCTGCCACCCATCCACACATGTGGGAGATCAAAATAGAGCTCCTGGCTCCTGGCTTCCATTTGGCCCAGTTCTAGCTGTTGTGGCCATTTGGGTAGCAAACCAGCAGATGGAAGCACTCTCTCTTTTTCTCCAGCTCTCCTTTTGTCTCTGTTACTCTGCCTTTCAAATAAATAAATCTTAAAAAAAAAAAAAAAAAAAAAAAAAAAAAAAAAAAAAAACAACAACTGTGTCAATTCTGGATTGCTTTTGATGGATTTTTCGCCTGGTAGGGCTCCTTTGCATGTCTATTAATTGTTTGTTCCGAGGCAGACAGTGTGCTTTCTGCCCTGCTGGGGGTGCTGGTTATCTTTGTATCCCCATATAAATGCTTGCTCTTTGTTCTGGGATGCAGCTACCTTAGCTGGACACAGTTTGATCCTTTCAGGTACTGTTTTCATCATGGGTCAGGCAGGGCGGATGTGCTGCTCAGCCCAGGGCCACTCATTCCCCACAATGGGGGTGAGGCCTTCCTGTGTCGCTGCATAAATCCCCGTGAATCATGAGGTTTTCCAGTCTGGCTGGTGAGAAAAGACACTGTTTCCGGCTGTGTCTGAGCACTGGACACAAAGAATTGTTACCTCTAATCCTTTGGAGCAGCTCTGGGGGGCGTTTGTTCTGCTCTCCCATGATGCCCCGGAGGGGGCGGGGTGGGGGTCCCTCCGCAGATCCCCAGCATTCTCTCTAGCCTGACTCTGAGCCCTGCGCTTGCTGGGCTGGAGCCCTGCGCCTCCCAGGGCTGCAGCCTGACCCTCTCAGGAAGCCTGGAGCTGGGGTGATCATAGCGTCACCTCCTCTATCCCGCTTCCCAGATCAATGTCCTCACTGCCAGACAGCCAGTGTGTCTCATGTATTTTGTGAATTTCTTCTTTTCAGGTAGGAAGATAAAAACTGGTCCTTGTGACACCCCGCCCTGGATGGAAGTACAGTCACGTATTTCTATTGGTAATAATACAAAGACTCCAGCCTTGGGTGGAGGCAGAGAAAGGAAAAAAGACGAGCCAATGTATCATGAATTCATTTATTTCTTAAGGGAACAGTGAAGGGTGGCAGAACAATACACCGATTCACTGTACTTTACATTAGCATGCTTTATGACATCCTGCTGTTGTCTAAAATATGCCTCACAGACACACCTATGCAAACCAGGGTGTAGGAATTACATTTGAAAAAGAGAAATATGGGGGCTGGCACTGTGGTACAGCAGGGAAAGCCGCCACCTGCAGTACCAGCATCCCGTATCAGCACTGGCTGGAGTCCCGGCTGCTCCACTTCTGATGCAGCTCCCTAATAGCCTGGGAAAGCAGTAGAAGGTGGTCTAGCCTCAGTGGATGAGACCCCAGTAAAAAAGAAGAGGTTATCAAAGGAGATATTTTTCTCTGAAGGGAGGAGAGAACTTCTATTTGCTTATGGCCTTGTTTAAATACTGAAGGAGTTTGTGGATTCAGAAGGCTTCCATAGCCTAGGCAGCTCATGTCAAGAGCCAGTGGTGATCAATGACGTCATACCTAAGAGTGTTAATGTTAAATTAAGAACAGGAGTCACTGTGCACTAACTCCCCATGCAGGACCTCTTTTCTCAAAGAGTTGTATTATAATTATGTCTAAGTGCTTGCAAAAGATGTATTATTCTTGGGTGCTTCTTTAAAGTTAATTAAGTTTCTGAAAAAAAATAAAAAAGAAGTGAAATTAACTTCAAGATGCAATGACTTTGAATAGCCCTTGTCTCAACTATTGAGGAACAGTTTGCTTTGTTTTGTTTTTTTGTTTTTTCTTTCTTTCTTTTTTTTTTTTTGACAGGCAGAGTGGACAGTGAGAGAGAGAGACAGAGAGAAAGGTCTTCCTTTTTTTTTGCTGTTGGTTCACCCTCCAATGGCCGCCGCAGCCGGCACGCTGAGGCTGGCGCACCGCACTGATCCGAAGGCAGGAGCCAGGTGCTTATCCTGGTCTCCCATGGGGTGCAGGGCCCAAGCACTTGGGCCATCCTCCACTGCACTCCCTGGCCACAGCAGAGAGATGGCCTGGAAGAGAGGCAATCGGGACAGAATCCAACGCCCTGACCAGGACTAGAACCCGGTGTGCCGGCACCGCATGTGGAGGATTAGCCTAGTGAGCCGCGGTGCCGGCCTGTTTTTTGTTTTTTATTCTGTGTAAATTGTTGAACTCTACTTAGTATAGAGTTGGTCTTTTTTTTTTTTTACATTTATTTATTTATTTGAAAGAGTTACCGAGAGAAAAGGAAAGGCAGAGAGTGAGGTTAGAGTTGGTCTTCTGTGTATAAAGTTATTTGAAAATAGATCTTAGTGGAGAATGGAACTGGGAATGGGAGAGGGAGGAGGAAGAGAAGTGGGAGAGTGGGTGGGAGGGCAGGTATGGTAGGAAGAATCACTATATTCCTAAAGTTGTACTTACAAATGCATGAAGTCTGTATTCCTTAAATAAAAGGCTTCTTTGGGGGGAAGAATAAAAAATAAAAATAAATTTTAAAAATACATATTTAGCTAAAAAAAAAAAAAAAAAAGATGGCCCAAATCTTTGGGCCCCTGCCCCTGCATGGGAGACCTGGAGGAAGCTCCTGGCTCCTGGCTTCAGATCGGCCCAGCTCTGGCCATTGCGGCTGTCTGGGGAATGAACCAGCAGATAGAAAACTCTCTCTTTGCCTCTGCCTCTCTGTGACTCTGCCTTTCAAGTAAGTAAGTGCGTATTTAAAAAGGAGAGCGAGAAATATAGCTCAGTACACTTTTGGTGGCTCTTTACCCACTTTTCCCATGGATGTCAAGACTGTTCACGTGACTGACAGCACAGAAGAAGGAATCCAGCATGTGGCAGAATGAATGGGGCCGGGGACGTGAGCCCACGGAGTGCCGGTAGAGGCTTTGGGCCTGACAGGGTGTCGCAGGATTCCCTCTTGGCCTGGCCCCTGCCAACCTGTGTCACCGCCCCCTCAGCTCAAGCCACACCACTGTGCTGCTTCCAAAATGACTTCTGCCTATGCCGGTCTCTACCTGCATGTTGTTCCTGGGCTGAGAAACAACGTGGGGTCTGGCACTGTGGTACAGCAGGGAAAGCCGCTTTTTCTCTTTTCCTCCAGTTAATACCCACATCCTTTAAGACACAAGCTCATGGGGTGGGCACTGAGGCACAGTGGGTTAGGGTACTGCTTGGGATGCCCATCTCCCATATAGCAGTGCTGGTTAGAATCCTAGCTGCTTCACTTCCGATCCTGCTCCCTGCTAATGTGCCTGGGAAAGCAACAGAAGATGGCCCAGGGGCTTGGGCCCCTCCACCCACGTGGGGAACCTGGATGGAGTTCCAGGCTCCTGACTTTGGCCTGGTTGCTGTGGTCACTTGGGGAGTAAATCAGCTGATGGAAGATCTTTCTCTCTGTGTGTTTCAAATAAATAAATCTTAAAAAAAAAAAAAATAAAAGACACATATTCACACACACTCCAAGTTTCAACATGGACACAACATTCAAACCATGACACCCATCGCTTGCTAAACCATCCTCCTCCTCATCTTCCCCACCCATCCTAAGTGGTTCATACTCTCCAGCTTAGTATGTGAGCCACCAAGGGTATCCAGTGCTCACACCAGACTCCTTTATCATAGTCCCAAACCTATCCCCTGCCACCCTCTACTGCCTTTCAACTTTTCTGCCGGGGTCGGCACTGTGGCGCAGTGGGTTAAAGCCTCAGTCTCCCATATGGGTGCCGGTTCAAGTCCCAGCTGTTCCACTTCTGGTCCAGCTCCCTGCTAATCCACCTGGGAAAGCAGGGGAAGATGGCCCAAGACCTTGGGACCCTGCACCCATGAGGGAGGCCCAGAGGAAGCTCCTGGCTTTTGGCTTCAGATTGGCCCAGCTCTGACCATTGAGGCCATTTGGGGAATGAACCAGCATATGGAAGACCTCTCTCTCTTTCTATACCTATCTATAACTCTGCTTCATTAAATAAAATAAATCTTAAAAAAAAAAAAAAAAACTGCTTGCCTACCTCTATCCTTGCCTTTTCTGATCCATGCCCCCAAAAAGCAAAAAGGAAGATTTTCTCTTAAAATTTCTTTCTTGATTTATTTTAAAAGAGGTTTCACTCACTGAGACTTTCTACAAATGCCAGCAACAGCCAGGGGCCCAGAACTCCATTCAGGTCTCCCACATGGATGACAGGGACCAGGGCACTTGGGCCAACATCTGCTGCTTCCCAGGGGCATGAACAGGGATCTGGATTGGAAGCGGAGCAGCTGGGACTCATGTCAGCGCTCCGACACTGGATGCCAGCAGCACCACAATGCTGGGCTCCCAGGCGGCGCCTTAGCTTCCACACCAGACACCTGTCACAGAAAGACTGTTTGTTAATGCAGATAGATCATGTGTCTCCCACTCAGACCACACCATGTGCACATGCACATCCTGAAAATCCGCTCTAGTCTCCCCATCGTCTGCCAGAGAAGCCTTTGCCTGGGCGGTGGCCATAAGGCCCTGTCCCCTGCCAACCTGTGTCATCCCCCGTCCCTCCCCCAAGCCACACAACTGCCTTTACCAAAATGGCTTTTGCCAGTCCTGTGCCTGCCTGGAGGTTGTTCCTGTGCTGAGAGGGAAGTCCCTCCTTTTTCCACCCAGCTAATGCTTTAGGACTTGAATGTTAACTCTTTAGGGCGCAGCTCAGCTGTTGCCTCCCCGACAGCCACCCTGGGTTGGGAGCTACTCACGACTGCATTTTAATGACCCTGGGCCGCCTCTCCCTCCACACCATGGACCACACTGCACTGAAAAGTCTCTTTTCCTTTTTCTTAAATAAAAAAGAAGACATTTCATCCACATGTTTTCTTATTTGTTTTCTGTCTATATATGTCCAGTGCCAACCTCAGCTGCAGGCAGAGAGCAGAGACACAGCAGGTGTTCACTAAGTAAGAGAAGTCAGGGGGTTATACAGCGGCTGGGGAGAGAAGTACTGACGGAGGAGACCATGCCTGGGGCAGCAAGGGTGTGGAAGCAGACGTGGCCTTGAACCCTGCAGCATGGATGGATAGCAAAGGCCCGCAGTTGTGGTCTGGGGTCCTATTTCTGGACAGCCTGGGCGGGCACCCACGGTTGGTGGCTGCTTTGGAAGCTACTCAGCCAGCAAGTCACCGGGGAGGTTTGCCTGGTAGGGTGGGGAAGTATCAGAGTGCATGGCCTCTCCCACCATGGGGCCCCAGGGTGCCTGGGTGCAGGGAGAGGTTAGTGTATCCAAAGTCCCACAGGGCTGGGAAGACGGAGGGGACAAAGTCTAAGAATAGTCGGGACACAGTTTGAAAACAGCACACTCAGCGAAACAGGCCTGGGACAAAGGGACAACTGCTGTAGGGTTCCACTAAAACTCCATGAGTTCCCTAGAAGGGTTAACTTCTCAGGGACCGAAGTAACCCGGGGATGGGCTGGGGCTGGACCAGGGCCATGAGGGCTTAGTGTTAATGAGTGTAGAGTTTTGTTGGGGAAAAAGCCCTGGAGACGGATGGTGGTTCTGGTTGCACAATAGGCATCTACTTAATGTCACTGAACTGTGCACTCGAAAGGATTAGATGGCTAATTTTATGTGGGTTTTGTTTTGTTTTTTTAATTAATTATTTGAAAGGCAGAGGGGGTGAGAGAGAGAGAGAGAGAATCTCCCATCCACTAGTTCACTCCCCAAACAACCAGGGCTGAGCCAGGCCAAAGGCAGGAGCTGGGAACTCAAATCCAGGTCTCCCTTGTGGGTGGCAGGGACCCAAGTGCTTGGGCCATCACCTGCTGCCTCCCAGGATGAGCCTTCGCAAGGAGCTGGATTGGAGAGCAAAGCCAGACTCAAGCCCAGTATGGCAAACAGCGTCAACCGCTGAGCCAAATGCCCCTCCCATTATGTGTTACGTATATTGTACCACGTTTGGGGCTGGCCCAGTATGTGTATGTGTGTGTGTGTGTGGGGGGGGCTATGCAGCCTATCTCTGGCTGCCTGAGAGAGAGGGGATAGGGCGGGCTGCCAGCTGCCCTCTGGCTGTCCCCCTCAAGCAGAGGACAGACCTGCTTCCCCTCTGTGTGTGACCGCCCTCGTCTCTCCCTCACAGGGTAGCTGGCCGGCGCGGTGTGTGAAGAGAGAGGCCTCCTGAGGAGTCTTGTGAAGTGGCTGAGAAGGCAAGGTGGCAGTGGAAGGACCCTGGCCTGGGGCCCTCTGACAGACACACCCTCAGCAGCCTCTGCTTGGGCTTGGAGCCAGCCTCCACCAGGGTTCAAGTCCAACCTAGGTTGCAGCTGGAGGCCACCTGCTGGGCCTGTGCCTGTTGTCAAGACAGCTGTGCCCGGCAGACAGCAGCAAGGGCAGTAAGTCCTGCAGGCACGGCCTCCCCGCTTCCCACCACTGCCAACCCAGCCTGGGGCTCACCCAGCGAGACAGGCACCTGAGGGCCTGGAGAGGAGGGAAGAGGTGGCTGGGGGCGCTAGAGCAGGGCCAAGGATGATTCTGTGCTTCAACCAGGGAGTCTGGGGAGACACACATTCCCCGGACAGCGCCCAGAGCTCACGCCATCATTATCCCAGATACGGGAGCTTCCTGACTCCCACAACAACCCCTTCCCCAACACACACAGCAGGAGAGCTCCTTCTGACACCTTAAAGCCAGGCTGCAGCCCGCACAGCAGAGCCGGGAACCTCGCTAGGGTCATCCCAGGCCGAGGTGCCGTGTCTCCAGCCTGTGCGTCCCCAGCCACAGGCCACCACTGCGCGGGGGGTTTGTTTGGACTCGCTCTGCTGTCCAGTCATGGAACTGCCATGCGTCTGTCTCCACAGGAAGCCCCCCTAACACGAGCACGAAATGCAAGCCCGGATGTGGTCCTCCATAGCGGGCCTCTTCTCCGTGCTCAACACCATCCAGTTCCTCATCTTCAATCTGAACCAGCTTACCCACATTGGCTACGAAGAGAAATACAGCATCTACCTGGAGACCAACTCCAGGCTGGCCTCCTGGGTCATGCTGTACCGGCAGAGCATCTGCACGGGCTTCTCGGTCATGACCATCCTGGTGGGCTGCTTCCTCCTCTACTGCATCCACAAGAACGTCTACACGGGGCTGCCCATCTACACCATGTGGATCCTCACCTACGAGTTCACCAGCTTCTCCATGGTCCTGCTCACCCACGGCCTCATCAAAGAGCAGTTCAGGGGCCTGGGCTACTTGTACCTCGTGCTCCAGGTCTCGCGCATGACCCTGCACTTCGGCCTCCTGCCCTTCATCGTCAAGCACGCGTATTCTCTCTACAAGGACCCCGGGTCCATGGGCAAGGTGGGCCGCCGCAGGCGCTCCTCCATCAGCACCGTGGACTCCTGGCCGACCGCTGGGCGGGGGATGCTGTACCGCAAGTTAAACTGAAGGGCGCCGGGCAGCAGAGAGAGGGAGGGGCTCCCCCCACCCCCCGCACCGCCTCACAGGGGTCCTGGACTCAAGCGGCAGGCATGGATGGGTTAGTGTGCAGGTGTGTGTCCACGTGCCTCCTCTCAGGTGTTCGTGATAAAGTGCCTTTGTGTTGATGTTGCCGTCCTGCCGCGTGTCTCTCGTGGGCTGCTGCACGTGGTGCTCCCTTCCTTGCTTTCTGGTTCCTTGTGGGTTGTCCCCCCAGGAGCACAGCTCTGCAGGACTTCCTATGCTGACGGCCACATCCCGTGTCTGTGGCTACTGGGCCACGGCCACCCAGGGACGGGATTTTAGACTTTAGTCCACTTCGTTTGGTGTAGCCACTGGTGGCTGGTGTGGGTGGCAGGCGCGGTGCTCAGGAGATGCACCCGGCGCCTTCCCTGCGCCCTCTTTCCGGCTCCAGGCGTCCCTCTGCTTCCTGCCCATGTTTCAGAAAGCAGGTCCTCAGACCAGCTCATAGCGATACAGCAATGACAGCCCCAGGACTTCTCCACTGATGCGTGATGGGCACTCTGCACCAGGCGGCTCTGTCTGCTGGGGGCTGGGCTGCACACGTAGGATGTGACTGACGTTCCCCCACCTCCCCACGTTGTGACAACCAAAAACATCTCCAGACCTCACCAATGTCCCCTACAGGGCAAAACTGCCCCCACTTGAGAACCACTAGTTTATTTATTTTTTCTATTTTATTTGAAAGGCAAAGAGAGAGAGAGAGAGAGATTTCCATCCGCTGGTTCACTCCTAAATGGAGTGGTCTGTCTGAAGCCAGGACAGTGAACTGCATCCCGGTCTCCCACATGGGCAGCAGGAACACAATTACTTGAGCTATCATCACCGCATTGGCAGGAAGCTGGACTTGGAAACGGAGCCAGGACTCAAACCAAGCACTCTGGTGCGGGATACAGGTGCCCCAATGGCATCTTACCACTGAGCCAAATGTCTGCCCCAGAACCGCTATTTTTTCTTTTTCTTTTTTTTTTCTTTTTTTTTTTCTTTTTTTTTTCTTTTTTTTGACAGGCAGAGTTAGACAGTGAGAGAGAGAGAAAGAGAGAGAGAGACAGAGAGAAAGGTCTTCCTTTTCCGTTGGTTCACCCCCCAAGTGGCTGCTGTGGCTGGTGCTGCGCCGATCCAAAGCCAGGAGCCAGGTGTTTCCTCCTGGTCTCCCATGTGGGTGCACTTGGGCCATCTTCCACTGCCTTCCCGGACCACAGCAGAGAGCTGGACTGGAAGAGGAGCAACCAGGACTAGAATCCGGGGTGCCGGCACTGCAGGCTGAGGATTAGCCTAGTGAGCCACGGCACCGGCCCCAGAACCGCTATTTTAAAGGGCCACACCCCAGTGTTGAGAGCTGCAGGCTGGTCCTGTTAACCATTTCCTGAGAACTCCGCATTCACCACCTCATGCAGCTTTAGTCTTAACACCTCCAGAAGGAACCAAGGCTCGGGGGCTTTAGTGATGGGATCAGGTGATGCAGCAGCCAAAGCAGGACTTGGGTCCGGATCGGCTGACTCCACGCACAGAAGTCTAACCTGGCTTACTGAAGCAACCTTATTTTTACCAAGATAAAAAAAAGAAGGACCTCCTCTTAGGGTAGTTCTTTTTCTCTCAAAGCTGTCTAGAACGTTGGACCCCTCCAAACCACGCGCAAAATGACAATAGCTCCCTTCACTGCTTTCTTCTTGCCTAGAGCGGGATACATGTGGACCGGAGCCAGTTCCCCCAAATGACCACAAGAGGGCGGTCAGTCATAAGCTTTGCTTGGCACTGTTTGCCCACCAATCCTGATGCTCTGAAGGGGACTGATGGCTGGGAGCTAACAGCATGTGTCTCTGCCCGACTCACTGGCACACCTGGGCAGCCTTCCAGTTCTGAGCCCCCATCCCATTTTGGGCACCTAGGGTGGGGATGTGGAGACCTGTGTGTCTCTAACTGGGCTCCCCTGCAGGCCCAGGTTCCTCAGAAGCCCTGTGGCCTTGGCCTCCCATCTGCGACTGGACCCTTTCCCTGCCTTTCTGCGGGTACCCCTCAGCTCAAGGACAGCCGCACGCTGCATAATCGCATGGCCAGATCTCCGCCCTCGCCCCCCACCCCGCCCCACCCTGGCCCCTTGTAGCTCCAGCCCAGGCCTCTCTTCAGGCACAGGGGCCACCAGCACAGCACCCACCTCCCCCACCCCTACCCCCTTCCTCCTGAACTGCAAGCACAGAGTGCCCGGCTCAGCCCTGGAGCCATTCTCGTCCCTCTCTCCCCCTTCCACCCTGCCCAGGCCCCTCCCTGGAGGGGAGACAGCCTCCAGCATGGGCAGCAGCTCCCCAGAACTCCACTTGGCATCTCCCTCAGATGTGGGCCGGGCCAGGCAGTCCTCTTGCGACCAGCGGGCGCGGCAGAAGGGACTGGGAAGCACTCCCAGGACCCGGTTACAAGGCTGCAGTGTTGTCGGCTGTCTCCTTGTCTCCGACAGAGGCCAGCGGCCGCACCGAGAGAACCCCTGTGGGGAGGCCGTAGACCCAGGAGCTGATGTCACCAGCACACCAGGCGCCCAGCCTTGCCCATGGCCCCCTGGGAAGCAGATCCTCCGCCAGTCACATACGGCAGTGACTGTAGCCCTGGCCAATACCTTGACTGCAGGTGGCAGACCCTAAGTCAGAGGACCCACGAGAAGAGCACCCGGGTTCCTGACCACAGAAACTGACAGAATCCAGGTGTGACGTCTCAAGCTGCTAGGTTTTGGGGCAGCTCGCCAGTGCAAGTAACACCGGAAATCAGTGCCTGATAGCCGCTCCATACTCATCCTAGTCCACACCCCCAATTTCCCCCCACAAACCTGCCACGCCCCCAGTCTTCCCCACCTCTACCATTCCAGTTGTGCAGACTGAAACCCCAGGCATCCCTGGGTGGCTCACCCTGAGCCCCGCCTGCATTGCAGATCCGCCGTCCCCGCTCCTCACCACCTCCTCCTCTACCCCATGGCCTGGGCCATCTCCTTGCAGCTCCTGCCCCATTCCCACCCCATCGCCACCCTTGCTCCCCTACAGTCAGTTCTCCTAGGGGCCAGAGATCCACTGCAACCTGGGGCAGATCACGGGCCTGCCTACCCGTGCCACTCAAGAGTCAAGTTCCCAAGACCTGTCACGCCACGCCTTCCCTGTCAGCCCTCTGAGCTCTCTATTTATCTACAAGGCATCCAGAGATGGAGCACCGGCATCCACTGGTTTACTCACCAGTGCGCTGGGCCAGGCCAACACTGGGAGGCAGGATCTCAACCCAGGACTCCCACATGGGTGGTAGGAATCCAACCACTTAAGCCCTTGCTGCTGCCTCCAGGGTCTGCATTGGAAGGCAACAGGAATTGGGAGCCATAGCCAGGATAGGAACCAAACACAGGTACTCCAATGTGTAGGTGCAAGTGTGTGTGTGTGTGTGTGTGTGTATTAAGATTTATTGGGGAGGGCCGGCGCCGCGGCTCAATAAGCTAATCCTCTGCCTGCGGGACCTAGTCCTGGTTGGGGCGCCGGATTCTTTCCTGGTTGCTCCTCTTCCAGTCCAGCTCTCTGCTGTGGCCCGGGAGTGCAGTGGAGGATGGCCCAAGTCCTTGCACCCTACACCCACATTGGAGACCAGGAGAAGCACCTGCCTCCTGGCTTTGGATCAGCGTGGTGCGCCAGCCACAGCGCACCAGCCGCAGCGGCCACTGGGAGGTGAACCAATGGAAAAGGAAGACCTTTCTCTCTGTTTCTCTCACTGTTCACTCTGTCAAAAAAAAAAAAAAAAAAAAAAGATTTATTGGGAAGTGAACCAGCGGAAGGAAGACCTTTCTGTCTCTCTCCCTTTCACTGTCTATATCTCTACCTGTCAAATAAAATATTTGAAAGTCAGAGTTAGAGAGAGTCATAAAGAGAGATCATCCATCTATTGGCTCACTCCTCATATGGCCACAACAGCCAGAACTGGGCTGATCTGAAGCCAGGAGCTTCTACCAGGTCTCCCACTTGGGTCCAGGGGCCCAAGCACATGGACCATTTCCACTGCTTTCCCAGGCCATTAGCAGGGAGCTGGACTGGAAGTGGAGCAGCTAGGACTTGAACCAGCACCCATATGGCACTGGCCCCAGGGGCAAGTATACTAACTGGTGTCTTAGCCACTAGGCCAAGCGCTGGCCCCTGAACTTATCTTTTAGTTCTATTTCCCAAGAACCTTTTATCACCTGACTTACTATGTATCATTACTCCTCCATCCCCACAATACGTGGGTGCCACATTGATCCCATTGCTGTTTCTCCAGCATCTAGAATGACGCCTGGCACACAGTAGGTGTTTGATAAACATCTGTGGGAGAGAGGGCACAGATGCCCAAGATAGAGCCGCCCATCACCCTTGGTCTGCCGCTCACTGAGATGGGCGGGCCAGGGACACACATTCCTACTGCTCTTTTGGTCCCCTCTGCTGCTTTCCTCTCACTCACTTGGGCGGCCCTGAGGAAGAATCTAGATGGGTACCGGTAGGAAAATACCCACAAAAGGTGAGATTTTGGCTTACTCCCCCTTGCCTTGCACCAGCTGCTGAGCCTGGGACACCACCTCTCCCCAGCTCCACCTCACCAGGTGGGGAACAAGCCAGCACAGGCACAGCTGAGGAGGCAGGGCCCCAGAGCCGTCGCTGCGCCGGCATCGGCTTCCTCCGGCTCTGCACGGTTATTACCATGTCGTACACCCTGGGCCCAGCTTTCAAGGGGCGCCCTGCTTAGCAAGAGCCACGTCACTGGGGCTGTTTGGATCTGGGGTATAGGTGCTGGGGGAAGAACTAGAGGTCACCGCATAGCTGGGTGAGAATCAGGGAGGTCTTTCGGGGAGAGAAGACCAAGTCCTGGAGGAAAGGGGAGGAGCGGGAAACGGGGGAGCCAGAGAAGGCACAGGGACTCTGGGAGAGTGAGGGTGTGCTCCTACGCTCCTGTGGGCCGTTCCCCCAGAGCACCGTGCAGGCGACAGGCACAGCGACCTCCACCACTGCGACTCTGTGACTGCGTCCGCTGGAGGGGGGACTGCCCTGCTGTGGGGTTCCCAGGGTGCGAGATGCCTGAATGCCTCCACTTGGCCTCCTTCTGTCCCCTGGAGGCCGTG